GTCCCAGCCCCACTCACGCTGGAGGGGCCGGTGGCAGGCAGTCCCAGGGTGATGTTGGGCAGGGAGGGCGAGGTGTAGAGCGGGAGCTGCGTCACGGAGCCCTCGCGGTTGACGAGCCTGTGAGCCAGGCTCGTCTGGACAGGAGGGAGAAAACCTGGTGAGAGCCCATCCCAGAGCCATCCCCATGCCCAGGGCACAGCACTCAGCAGGACAGGGCAGCAGGAGGGGACACAGAGTGCCCAGAAGGGCACAGACACCCCAACAATCAATCCCAGCCTGTGCATCCCTAGGAGCAGGGTCCAAACACTCCTGGAGCTCTGGCAGCCTTGGGGCTGTGCCCATTCCCAGCACCCTCTGGGGAAAGAACCTTTCCTGATCTCCATCCTAAACCTCCCCTGGAACAGCTACTCCCTTGGAACTTGCCCTTCTCCAAGCATTTTTAAAGGTAAAACCAATTATCTTAAAAAAAAAAAAAAAAAAAAAAAAAAAAGCTTTACAATTGGTGTTTTTCTCTTTAGCAAATAACAGACAATTTATGGTATTTACTAGCGTGTGTTAGCATAAATCAGACTTCAAAATCCCATCCAAAAGCCTCAAGGTTGCATTTATGGAGCTATTTCCTGATTTTCAGGGTGAAATGCAAGATTTGCTCGGTTATCTTACAGGCATTTGAAGCAAGAACACTTTAGCAAAAATACCTTTAATTTCTAAACAAGACTGATTTGAAATACGCACTAGAAAGCCCATTATAAAAATTACAATAAAGTGCCTGATTTTCCTGTTAGGAAGCCAGGGCTCTGATCACCCTGAGGTCTCTGCAGGTGATTTTCCAACGTAAATAGATTTTGAGAAGACTTCTGCAGAAGCCTGTTAAACTCGGGTGCTGCTGTGAAAAACGGGAGTTTGTTTAACTCAATATTCTATTAAGGGGCAATGTGTACCTAAGTCGTGGCTGTCCCATCCCTGGAATTGTTCAAGGCCAGGCTGTTCCACCCCCTGCAATGTGCAGTGACACCTTCCACTATCTCAGGGTGCTCCAAACCCAAAATCCAGTCTGACTCTGGACAACTCCAGGGATGAGGCAGCAACAGCTTCTCTGGGCAGCCTGTGCCTTATTTTTAACAGGTTCATTGTAAAAAACCTTCATTTTTCTCTCTTATCTAAAGTGACTCTCCATGTGATTATTTGTACCCACACACTTCTCTTTCCAAGTGATTTTTGAACACTCCTGGCAATTTTGCTTTAATTTAAATTACATAATGTCAGTGCGCCATTGAAAATAAGATACTTATTGTCAGCAGAGGAATGAAATATTTTACTGGTATCATAAATGAAACAAAACTACATCCATTTTCCCTTTGAGCAATCAATACTCTGGAGTTGTGCCTCAAAGCCTCTCCTGGGGATTTGCTATAGAAAAACAGAGGAGAGAAGAACACAGCAGCTTGATGCTCTGAGCATATGGGATTTGGCAGCATTATCACCACTTTAAACACACAGCTCCCATCTCTGGGCTCAATTGCACACAGCCATTTCTGAATGCACAGTCTGCAGCTGTACTCCAGCAGTTTTTACAGCCTTGTACCAACTGCAATGTGCCTTTAAAAACAGTATTTCAAAGCAGAAAGTGTCTGCTTTAAAGGAGGCAGGGCTGCAGTCTTTCCCCACTGAAGGCACTCAGACAATGAACTTGGGCACCATCTTCCAACACACCTGGTTCAAGGGCTGCTGCAGCAAACTAAGAAGCAGTGAGATACACTTCTCATTTAAAATGAAACATGAAGCTAAGAACAAAACACAACATGATATTTTCAGAAACACTCAAATATTTCCAAACTTTTCATGGTGGGAACTTGGGAAGTCCTGGTCCATTTTGGTATTAAAGAATCTCCAACACCTGAGCCCCCAGGTCATACAACTCCTACTTGAGGAAGAGGATTTTAAAGGCACCAAACAACACTTATTTTTTTTCCCAAATACAGGCCAATGGATCAGCTGGGATCACACATGAATGCTGAAATAAAATGCAGAGTTATTTTTCTTTGGGAAGGGGAAAGGCTTGGGCAGGACAGGGCTTTTTTCCCAAATAATTTTTACTGCTTGTGCCTCAGCCTAAGTCACAAAATCAGCTGCACTACACGCAGTTGATGGAAAAGACTTTTTCCTGTGGTCAGTGTCCATTTGATTAAGTTTTGGTGGTCTAGGCCCAGATGATCAGCTCTAATTATTAAGCTGAAAAATCAAATGGATGAGGAGGATGCTCCAGCTTCACATTTCCCTGCAGGAGCTCACTCTGACCTCATGGAATGGTTTGGGCTGGAAGGGACCTTAAAGACCACCTGATTCCAACCCCCTGCAGGGACTTTTGGGAAGCTGCCTGCTCTGTTTATGTCACAAAAACAATTGTCAAACCTGCTGGCTTTTCCATCAGCAGCAACTGGGAATTTGCAGTTTGCTAAGGACAGACAAGACTGATCAGCAAAAGCAAAACTCACTGCTCATCCTCCTGGGGCAAGTGAAGCCCCCACCTCCCACCATCTTAATTTTCACACTAATTACCTAAATCTGTATGGTTTGCTATAGATTAGAGTGGCTGGAGCGCGTGCTGCATCATTTGGCAGGGCAGAGGGTGGAGAAGGAGGCATGTTCCCCATATTAAATACTGTTACACTACATTAGAAATAAAAATAAAGTGCAAATCTGTACAAAACTAGAAAGCAATAAGGACTGACATTTCCACCATCAGAAGGCCTTTTCAATTCTAAAGGAATATTTGTGGAGAACAAGCCCCAGCCTGTTTTTGGAGTCCTGGTGTTAAGACAGACTCTATTCATGGGGAGAACAGCTAATGGGAAACTGGATGAAAAGAAATGCACCAGTAACATCAGACAACCACACTGGTTTTCTAGAGGCACAGTTTGTAGTGGGAGCCAGCTCACATGGCCCAGACCCTTTGGAAAAGCTTGGCTCCCACATTCCTGAACACAGGAGCTGCTGTGCTCTATCCAACCCCACCTCACCCTGCGCTGGGCATCCAGCAATGCCTCAAGTGATGGTGATACTTTATGGGATTATAAACCAGCACAAGGCACCAAGCTTTCAGATCCCCAGTTGTGGAGGAAAAGTTTAAATCCATCCCCTTTAATCCAATTATGGTTTGGGCATATTTAGACCAGCCTACTGCACACAATAAATCCACCCTATATACAGGAATAAAGCCCCAAACACTAAACTACTTGCATTTGACCTTGCTGAATCCCTTTATTTTTACTTTCTCCTCACTACAAAACCACTGCAAGCTACCACAAGCTGCCTGTGAGCTGGTCCAAACCAGATTTAATAAACAGATAAGGCATCCTGCAGGCTGAGAGGTAATTCCCAAAGTCTGCTCCGAGTCACAAGTCGGGCTTTTCTTTTTGTGTGGTTTAGTTCCCAAACTCTCCCAGAGCTGAGGGGTGTCCCAAAGCAGAGGGAAGGGGGGCTCTGTACCTCTGCCTGGATACTGGTGACTGATCCTGCAATTCCATTCTCAGTGCTGATGTTGTTGGAGCTGTTGTTCGGAGAGCTGGGACCGGATCCAGGAGCGCTGTTGCATGCAGAGTCTGAAAAACACATCCCAAACCCAACTTTTAACATTAGAAACCATCTCTGTGATGGTATTTACACAGATAACAAGCCCTCGAGTTTTGTTTTGGATGAAAGCAGCCCTCCTCCTCCTCCTCCTCCCCTTCTTCCCCCTAAATCTTCCCAGGGCTCTTAAAATACCAACAAACACTTTCAAATGGCTTATCCAAGTACCCACTCAGCATATTTAAGTCTTCTCCCTATGGGGATTTCTCTTAAGAGTATATTAATAACTCGAAATATGATTGAAAGATAATAAAAGGCATGGAAGGTTTGAAGAGGTCAGACTGGAGGATGTCAGAGTTGTTCTGCTTCATTCTTCTGGAAGTGCCTCTCTCACTCCCTTTCTCTCTAACCCTAAAGACACCTCCTTGCCTCAGACCTCCCTCAGAAGGTTTCTCACCTGCTCTATGGCACAGCTGCCAGTGCTCCTCCTTTTATTTGGGAAGGCTAATAACATTCAAACCTTCTCTTTTGGACTTTCCTCATCCCCAACCATTTGCAGCAGGAGAATCTCCCAGCAGCTGCAGTGGCTGAGGCTGCAGCAGGCTCCTCATTGCTCCAGGAGGAACAAAAGCTCATTTTTACAAGGGCCTGGAGGGGCAGGACAGGAGGAATGGCTTCCCACTGCCCCAGGGCGGGCTTAGAGGGAATTGTAGGAAGGAATTCTTCTCTCTGAGGGTGATAAAGCCCTGGCACAGGGTGTCCAGAGAAACTGTGGTTGCCCCATCCCTGGAAGGGCTCAAAATCAGGGTGGAGCAACCTGGTCAAGTGGAAAGTGTCCCACCAGAACCCCCTGTGTTCTTCACGGATTAAACATAATTTCTATTCCCCAAAGTGGAACTGTTTTTAAAACTTATTTTCCATTTAAAAGTCCCCTCTTTTTACTCTTTTACTTTTCAAACAAGCTCCAGGCTGGCTTCTTGAACTGAGTCTATGCCAGTGAGAAATGGGAGCTTCCACTGCCATTTCTGAAGTCACTGCAGGGAAAAACGGTCAGCCAGCAGAGGCTGATTTATCCCAGGAGCCATGTGCCACATAGCATTGTGTGAGTGAAGGAAATTGGATTTTCAGGTCTGAAAGGCTGCCAGAGCTCATGGAAAACTCTCTCAGGCACAGGCTGGGATTTTTGGGGTGTCTTATGCGGGCCTAGGGTTGGACTGGATTATCCTTGTGGGTGCCTTCCAGTTTAGGATATTTTATGATTCCACAGCTTTTAGCTCTTGAAATCCTCCTTCCCTCCTGCAAACAGAGAGGCTCTGACCCAGAGAAGTGCTGAGGCACCCCAGGGTGTCCCAAACCCACTCCCCTGTCTAAAGGGAGCTCACTTTGAGTTTGATGGAGTGATGACTGTGTGCCTCAGAGCCAGACAAGCCTGGCATAGCTGTCACTGGGTGGTACTTACACAGAGACATCCCTAGATGGTGCTAAGAATTAACTTTATGGTAATCTCATCATGCTCCTTGCTCTGATCCCACTTGCAAACTTTGGTTTTCTGGAAGGACAGGACTTTTCAACAAGAAACTGTCAGTTGAGTGGTCAAAAAAAAAAAAAGTTTTATCCAGCTGTATGTGTAAAGCTCCTGGGTCAAGAACCTATTTCCTATTTTCCATCCTGACACAGCTCCAGGTGTGCCAAAGGGAGCAGAGATGGGAGCTATGGATGGGGATGAGGCCTGACCTCAGCTGGACAATTCCAGTGCCCTCAGTGGGTTGCAGCACTGCTGAAGCACACCAAGGAGACATTCTGGGAAGGGAGAAGGGGGTGAAGGACTGAGGAATTGTCACTTACCCGCCGTACCTGTGACGTCCAGCGGGCGCTTCTTGAGCGCCGTCACCACGGGCCCGTCCTTCCTGCGCAGGAGGGGGCTGCTCCTCCTCTCTGCCACCTTCTGCTTTAGCCTGGAGCGCAGCTTCAGGTTGGGCTCAGAGGCTGCCCACGAAAGGAAACAGTGTTAGGAGCGTCCCAGCTGTGTTTTACTCAGCCTGAAGTTGAGCTGAGCTGAGCTGTGTTGAGTTGAGCTGAGTTGGCCGCAGTCGAGCATTTGCAGGAAGCTAAATTAAATTAAGTCATTTGCTAACACAGATTTTTAATGTAACAAACAGGTCCCAGCCTGTCGCAGACATCTTTTATGAAAAATCCTTTTCTTAGGATTTTTTCCTCCTGAGAAGCTGTGAGGCCTCAGGAACAAAATGTAAATAGTGGTTATCTGCTGCTGTGGAATGCAACAGGTGCATCTGTGACTGGCTCATGTTGGATGTTTGTAATTAATGGCCAATCACAGCCCAGCTAGCTTAGACTCTCTGTCCCAGGCACAAACCTTTGTTATTCATTCCATTCTATTTTTAGCTTAGCCAGCCTTCTGAGATGAAACCTTATCTTCTATTCTTTTAGTATAGTTTTAATGTAATATATATCATAAAATAATAAATCAAGCCTTCTGAAACATGGAGTCAACATTCTCATCTCTCCCCTCATTCGAAAAACCCTGTGACCACCGTCACACCAGCCCATGCAACATCTGAATCCAACAACAACAATGACAGGCATCTGAATTAAAAATGGAATAATCATCCTGCAAAATCTTCTCTGTGCAAAGACACAGACTCAGGATTAGTGCAGAGTTTCCCACCTCTGCTCAACTTGCTCCTAAGCCAGTGGCAAACCCAGCTGATGGGATCCAGCAGAGGAATGGCTGAGCCAGCTGAGATGCTGCTGTTGGTAATCTCTGATGTTCTGCTGGAACAGGCAGCTCCACACCCTCGAGTCATCCGACCCCTGAGGGAGGGACGCCAGGGCATGGGAAAAGAAAACACCAAAATCAACCCCCACAAGCACAAGCAAATCAGGTGATTGTCTCCCTGCTGGCTCCTTGTGTCAGCTGGAGCCAGTGTCAACTCAAGGGAAAGGGCATGAGAGTGTGGCCAAGGAAAGCCACAGCCAGGGAGGAGGAGGTTTGTTTGTTTGTTTGTTTGTTTGGGAAGCAGCTTGGGGTTGCATCATCACATCCCCACAGTTCATCCCTATCTAACAGCACATCACACACCTGGGAAGTTCCAGACTGCCCAGGGCAGGTGTGGATGCATTTCCTGTGACCACAGCCTTGTGTACACCACGCTTCTGAGAGACTCCCTCCAAAGCACAAATCCTGAGCTCCCAAAAAGCCAAGGCAGATCTGCTGGGGCCAGGACAGCCGGTGACAGCGCACGCGTTATCAAACCTCCAGCAGGGGCACAAGGCTTTAATTCAGCACTCCTCCTGCAACATGATTTCCTCTGGGAGCTTCCTGACCTCCTGAGCCCTGAGTGAAACACCTGCTGGAGGGTTTGAGGGCTCCTGACAGAGCTGAGTGAAGCAGCCCCATCCTTTCCCTTCCTCAACAGCCCCACTGCTTAATTCCTTTGAACCTGTGCTCACTCCATCACCAACCAACACACTCCAGGGCCAAGGATCTACATGTCTTTGGGAGAATTAAAACAAGGTTTACCAACTGATTTGAATTAACTCAGTCTGGCTGCAGCTACGTTTCCCTTGACCATCAGGTCACATCGAAGATCAAGCCCGTCCACGTTAATTGCAGGGCTCGAAAAATCACAAGGCTGATGAATTCAAGATCAAATGCTTGGAGTTAAGCCATCAACACAGTGCTTTGATGGAATTTTGGGAGGGAAGAAAAATTTTAAAAAGAAAGGAAAGAGCTTTTTTGTGAATGTTTTGGACAGAAAAACACCAGCAAGAGATAAAGGGAGCGCTAAAAAAAAAGTGCTTCCCCAAGATGATGCTTCAAATGTTGAATGAAATGCATTAGCAAGGGGAGAATTATCTTCCAGAGAGAGAATTTGCATTTAAAATGGCAGGGGACTGAATGCAAATCTGCTCCCAGGGCAATATTAAAGACTGGACCAGTTCAAACACAAGCTCAGGCTCCAAGCAGCAAATTCTCTGAGTTCTCTTCAAAACACAAGTTGGCATGATTTTAAAAGCTGCGTTTGGGTACACACCTCATCCCACATCCTTACATTCCCAGCTTTAATTTGTCCCAATTTCTGAGCATTAACAGCTGCCTGGATGCCACACTCATGGCTGGAATGAGATGATCTCTAAGGTCCCCTCCAACAAAACCACTCTGGGATTCTGTGCAAGGGGAAGGTGCCACAGCTGGATGCTGATATACCCATTTTAAATCAAGGAAATCTAAGACTCTGTCCCCTGACAAAGGCAAACATGGCAATAAAAACTGTATTTCAGCCCAAATTTTATTCCTGGTGTTCAGATGAGGGATGGTTTCTGTTGGGAACACATAATTAATACACAGAAGGAATTAATTAAACCACATTGGTTTGAAACACCTTAAAAACAGGCAGGGAAACAAAAGATTTGGGGTCACAGATGACCTAACACACCCCATATTTTAAGCCACAATAAAAACCTCCTTCCATATAACAAAGAGGTGAACAAACACAGAAGATGACAGCCTTCAAAGAGAAAATACCTCCAGCGTAAGTGATTGCCAAAGCAACGTATTGGAATTTGTCAGATTAATCTATTTTAAGGCAAAATCACTCTGTGTTTTCCCCTTCTGCTAGGGGATTGAGTTTCAAAACACCAAAAGGTCTATTTAAAGCCTTGCTCTGATTCTGTTGTTTATCCCTCAGATATAATCCCAAATCTAACATGGCATCAGGACCTCAGAGAGCATAATCCCTACACGGATTTAATTGGGTGCTCCAGAGCCCAAAGTAGGTGAATTAAAATTCAGCACAGCCTCAAACTCACAGAATTTACATAAAACCTCTTTTATAGTAAAATAATTTAGGCTTGTTCGCATGGTTTTTTTAAACTATTATATAATAAAAATATTTTAAAGCTGAAGAGAGCTATCTTTCACAAGTATAAAACAGGAATTTAAACAACACAGAAGCATCAATACCTGACAGTCAATGCAGGCTCAATGCTGCCTCAGGAGCACCAATTCCACTGGAAATCTCCCCAAATTCACCCTGCCAGGCAATATGCCCAAACAAAGCCTTGCTAACTGGATTAAATTTAAAAACTGGAAACTAAACTACCAAACGTAAGTTTAAAAATTACTGCTCCTCTACATCTCCAGGTGAAGTATTTAAAACAAATGCCATAAAGTTAGAAAAATTGCCCCCCAGCAAACAAATTAAGCCCATGCCCAAATCTCAGTCAGCTCCCACAAAGCCAGTGGGATTTCTGAAGCACTCACATACTTAATTTGGCCTATAATAAGGATTTATACAAAGAATATTTTGTTTTCCTCCGAATAAATTAATAACCAGAACATAAGCCAAAAGCTTCCCTGGTTTTCACAGGCTCCAAACCAAGTTACCCCTCTTACACATCACTGTGTGCAGCAGGACTCATGTAATCCAATTCTTCCAACATTTATGTCATTCCCATTGTTTTTTCCTTAGAATTGCAGCCCTTAAGCTGCTGAACTAATTGGACATTAAATCTGTGGAAGTCAAAACTCCACCAAGTCCTGGGCAGAGTTTGCCCTGCTCCCAGTGTCCATCTACATTTGTGGAATGAAAGCAAACAATGCAGCATGAAACCCCTGCTCCCAGCCCCTGAACATCTTCCTTTCAGCAGGTGGGGACTGGAAAGGGATGCTATTAATTTATTATTGTTATTGTTATTATTATTGCTATTTGTAAGTTCCAGCCGAAGTTTAATAGTCAGGCAAAAGCCAACAGAATTATTTTGTCTCCCTTCTAACACCCATAAGAAAACTCCATGAGAGAAGGAGCTTAAGCTGAAGGAGGGAAAGGGATGGATGGGATATTGGGAATTAGGAAGTGTTCCCTGGCAGGGTGGGCAGGCCCTGGCACTGCCCAGAGCAGCTGTGGCTGCCCCTGGATCCCTGGCAGTGCCCAAGGCCAGGCTGGACACTGGGGCTTGGAGCAGCCTGGGAGAATGGAAGGTGTCCCTGCCCGTGAATGGGATGGGCTTTGGGATCCCCTCCAACCCCATCCTGGGATTCCATGAACAGTGCAGGCCCCTGGGAAGCAGAGATGGAGCTGGGAGGACCAAGGAGGAGGAGGGTGGGTTCCCTGAGTGACTGGGATCCCCCAAAGGTGACACTAAACCACAAGATTTTGTTTGGTCTCCTCCTGGAAGAGGTTTCTCTTCTGGTGCACCACTCACCAGAATTGTCTTCACGATCCCACAATTGTCAAGGCTGGACAAGACTTCTGAGATGACCAAGTGCAGCCATCAATCCATCATCCCCCAAACCCTGTCCCCCAGTGCCACATCCCATTCTGTGAACACTTCCAGGGATGGTGATCCCACCCCTGCCCTGTGCAGCCTGTTCCATGCCGGAGCACCTTCCCAGGCAAGAAATCTTCCCCAATATCCAAGCTAAGTGTTATTTCTGGATCAGACAGACTGACATCCTCCCCTTGGAGCAGCACAGGGTATTTCCAGCAGGGATTTCTCTGGGGCTCAGGGCCTCCTCTCAGTGTGTGGGAAGCCAGGCTCCCATGCTGGCTGCAAGGACAATGTGGGTGGGAAGGCAGAGATGCTCTCGAACTGCACTGACACTCCATGCCACACAGAGCTCCAAGATTTCCTCTCATTATACTCCCACATTACACCAGGGTTTCTGACAAGTCTATTTTCTTCCAAACAACCTTTTGTCCTAAAACAAACCACTCCAAACACTCCAATAATCAGAACCAGTTCAGAGGGACATTATGCTTTCCTCGACAAACGCAGCATTATAATTGTTGACAAATCCTTTCATTTTTCCCTTTTGTTTCTTTCTAAATGCAACAAGTTCACACCAATTTCACCTGCTTAGCTGCAAATAATACCCAAACAACTCCAGTTTCCTGCATTACCAACAACCTCATGGGATGTTGGGTGCTTTCCTCTCTCAGGCTCCTCTCTTTTGCATGGAAAAAGAGTCACAGAATCATTTAGGTCGGAAAAGCCCTCTAAGATCATCAAGTCCAAGAGGAAAAAGCACATTAAGAAGTGAAATAATTCCCTTTAAATCTTCATGATGGTGGTGGTTTCTGCTTTCTAAGTAACAGCATGTCCTAATACATCCACTGCTCAAATTTCAGAAAGCAGGGAATGCCATCAACAACCTCGTTCCCGGGGAGAAAACGAGGACAGGATTCCTTGGAAATGCAAAACTGAAAAGCTCTGCTAAAACCCACTTCAGCAGCTCCAAGAAAGGTGTTGACAAACAGCTCTTGGGGTTATCAAAACAGGCTGTCCCAATCCAGAGTCTAAAATCACTCCATCAGGATTCTCCAGAGATTTTCCTCAGAGGATCCCAGTGCAGCACATAATGAATGTTATTATGTCTGGGAGACACCAACCTTGATCTGAGGCCACTTAGAATTTCCCCTCTCAAAAACTGTCAATAAAACTCTGACATTAAATCCTACACAGAACAAAATAAACTCCCCAGAAGGGGAAATAAAAATCCTTGTGCTAATCCAGGTATTTAACAGCAAAGGCAGGAGCAGCTCCAACCAAACTGATCTTAGATCAGTGAAAAAAAGGAAGAGCCCCAAAGTGCTTGGAGAGAGGGAGCAGAGTGAAATCAATCCTCCAGCCAGGCTAAGAACAGGATTCAAGCAATTAGTAACTGCACCAGCAAAACAATTTCACGCTGAAACCAAACAGCCAAGAAACTGGAGCATAATTTAGGAAAACAAACCAGAGAGAGCTGGATTTCAGGGCACGGGAGGCATCAGGAGCATACTGCAGGAGCTGAGTGTTCTCCCTGCTGAAGGCTTTCAAGCACTCTGAAGATATCTTTCCTGCACATTCTCCCTCTCCCATAACCTGCGATTATCAGGATGCTTGAAATAAGATTACAGACACAGAGTGTTGCTAAAATGCAGGGAAATGGTAAATTTGATGGAATCACGGAATTGCTTGGGTTAGAGGGACCTTAAAGCTCACCTTGTTCCAACCCTTGCCATGGGCAGGGACACCTTCCTCTATCCCAGGGTGCTCCAAGCCCTGTTCAACCTGGCCTGGAACACTTCTAGGGGATGGTGAATATTTATTCTTCCCAAAAATGTCTCAACCTGCAGGACACGCTCCCAGCGCTGCAGACTGTGAGAAATGATAATTCCAACTGCCTTCCCACCACCCCCTAAGCCGCCCTCTCCCCAGCAATGGTGCTGGTTGGATTCCAGCCCTGGTAATCAGAGCTGTATTGTGATGGGTTCTGTTATTTGAGCTGCAAATATTTAATCAAATTTAATAAAATTGGACTACACGATATGGCGGTTTTAAATTACCAACACAAAGCCAGAGCCTTGCCTGGTGCCAAAAATCTGAAAAGCTCACCCGTAATAAAGAACTTTATTTAGGATGGGCTCCAGCCTTCCCTGCCTTTTGTTTACACCAGACTGTTCAGGAGCCTTTCTTCTCCAAGCAACTTAACATTCTTGGCACTGGGAATTCTGCAGGATATTGCTGTGCCAGAGCCTGACGTGCTGTTGCGTTGAAAGGAAAATAAAAGAAAACAATGAAAAAAAGAAAAAAAATTCTCCCCTGAACCTCACAAAAGTGAACTCATTTGTATCCCAGACCAGTGCCCAGGAGATTGATGTGCTGGTGCCCAAAAAGAACAAGCACCAGCATTCTGGCAAACCAAAATCAGCTGAACATTCTCCTGCTGGAAAACAACAATGGGTTTGGTGGCTTGCACTCTTTAATAATGTGATTAGCTCCATTCATCATCCTTAATTCCCCCTGTCTGACAGCAGGAGCTCACCCAGCAGGAGCTTTGGTGAGACAGATCCCAGTTTGGGAAGCAGCACAGGGTGGGTGAGATGTGCAGATGTCTTCCTTCTCCGGCAGGAATTCCCTTCCAGGACACTGGGAGCAAGAAGGGCGACTGCTGCTCAAAGCCAATCTGACAGGGTGCCCTGAGGTGACGAGCCAGGCAGGTTTGGGACCATGTCAAAGCCCATTTCTGCTGTGGTAATGCTAACAGGGTGGGAAGGGATCACCTGGTACCACAAGGCATAGCAAAGAGCTAAAAATCTCTTGGAATCAGGCTGCCCACAGGCCCTAAGTGATAGGTTTGGTGCCAAGGAATGCTTTCCTGTGTGAATCCCCAGGGCAGCCTGCAAGCTCTTCCATTTCCCAGGAGCAGAGAGGAGAGGAATCCCTGTCTTTCAGCAAATCCAGTTTTCCAAGCTTGGCTTTTGGAGTCCTCCAGGAAGGGCACAGTCAGAAGTACCATCCCCAAAGCCACAGGGACACCTTTCCTGGGGAAAACCCATATATTACAGCCAATTTTTGACTGGGTTCTTGTGCAGCTGAGGTGCTTGTTACTCATCAAGCAACCAACCCAAGGGTGAACAGAGACAACTGCATGGATGGGACTCCATGCAGCAGGGCAGGTGCTACAGTTCCTAGTGAGACATTTCCAAAAGGGGAAAACTTCCTCACTGAAAGGCTGGTCAGGCACTGGAACAGGCTGTCCAGGGCAGTGGTCACTCACCATCACTGGAATTATTTAAAAAACCCGTGAATGTGGCACTTGGGGCCACGGGTTAGAGGTGGCCTTGGCAGTGCTGGTTGAGGGTGATCTTTGGATTTTTTCCAACCTTAATGATTGTGTGATCTTTCCAGAGAAGCTTTTTTTTGCTGTCCTGCAGTGATTCCCAGCAGGGCCAGTGAGCAGAAGAGCTCCCTGAATGAGGCAGAGCTGTTCCCCGAAGGCAGCAGCAGCCTTGGGAGCCCAGGCTGTGCTGGCTCAGGCATGTGCTAGGGAGCTGAGGAGCACAGCCAAGCCAAACAACCTGGTTTACATAATACAGGCTTGAGGAGTAACTGACCTGCTCAGCCACCGTGCAGGGAGAAGCCAGACTGAAAGAGAACTGTCTAGGTGTGAACCAAACCCTCGCAGGAAGCCCCGGTGCTCGCCCTGGCACAAACCTCCTTATTTACCTCAGGTACAAACTCACACATAAAATGCAAATCCCCCCCAGAAATGAACTTTTTCTCAGTACTTTTCTCACTCAGCAAACACACTTGGGCTGGGGACACACAAATCTCTGTGAGAGCTTTGGGTTTGGGAAAATGTTGAAGGTTGCAGTACAAGTTGTTTTCCATTCCCATCTGTATG